ATGACAGATTTCCGTTACATAAATCGCCTGTAGAAAAAGATTCACTGTCTGCTGCGAATTTACCTGTACAATGTAAGAGACAAATTTATCTGTCGGCCTCTCCAAAATCATGTTTCTTAAGAAGTATCGATTCCAAGAGGACAGAAAGCTTGCTGAAAGCAAACGACTTGGACGTGTATAAAACTGAAGATAATTCGTGAGTACAGCACAGTAAATCTTAAAAGCAATACCAATGAACAATTATTTGAATGTTCTGTGAATGAATTGTAGGTCTCTGCTTTCATATGTCAGTACTCAAGAGTATAAATATGAGGACCCAGAAGAAGGTGTGATTTTATTCGAACGGCGACTCTGCGTTACACCGTTTAGGTGAGTTTACAATCACAATCTTCATTTTTATCTTATAATCTGTATTAAATTGAGTCATTAAAGCATCTTTTTGTCTCAAAATCGTTAAAGTATCTCTTTGTAACAAAAAGAAGATCAAGTTTATCAAAAAGTTAATAAAACTATTATCTAATCAAACTTATCAATTTGCAGTACTCCTAACAGAAGTGAATGTGATGCCAGAAGCAAAATGGCTACGTCTGGTAAGTCAGAAATAAGTTTATGTTATTATTAATTATAGAATTATTAGAATTATATCAATAGAATTAAAAAATAATTCGTCTATTACAGAAGTTTCGAGCACATCCACTTATCAAAGTTTACCAGAAGAGATACTATTTATCGACGATGTTGCTCTTAGACGAGAGCTCGCACAGCTTGGCGATCAGCCTGGCCCCATCACTGATACAACCAGACATCTCTATCAACAACGTCTTTTGCGTTTAAGAAATCAGTATCAGATAAAAAGTATCAGGAAAGCCAATCCTGTTTCATCGATGCCAAATCAGAGCGCTCCAAGAAATCAGACCTCGAAGCTGAGCAACAGAATCAGACCGAATTTAGAGTTTGGAGACTGGTTAAATCATCTGGATACCTACAGAAGTCTGGAGAGGCAGGTATTTCAAGAATTCGCCTCGCCGGATCCGTCTCGGAGGTGGCGCGAGGGCACGTCGAAAACGTCCTTTTCCTACCTGCTGTTAGACCCGCGTATTACGCAGGATCTGCCGAATCGCAGCGTCCACCTTACGAGATCGGAAGTCTGGTCGGTCTTCCTCAACGCCATATTCTACATCGGTAAGGGCA